AATGATTATTAATCCTGACATAACCAAATGACATGAATTCATCATGAAATGTGTAGCATGAAAAATTACGTGAAGGTGATCTGTACACGTCTATTTTCAACTGGTCCAAACTTTAATTTATCGAGATCGATATAATATCCTTAATGTACAAAGTGTAATGAATGAACGAAAAAACCGCATATTTATAAATAACCAAATATGTCCAAAAAATCAATGTATACATATATGAAATTAAATATAGAACATAAAATATATGAAAATGAGTAACTCCCACTAAACCACAAATTCCTCAAACTGTAAAACACCCATTTGAGCAACATGTTCAAGAAAGACCTTGGGTGGAAGTCCTTTAGTTAGAGGATCTGCTATCATGGAGGTTGTCCCTAATTGTTCTATGGAAATCTGTCCATTATGTACTTTTTCCTTAACAATATAGTTGATTTGTTGTCACAATATAACTTAAGTGGTCTTTCAATGCCTTTCACAATTTGCAGCCCTGTGACAAAATTTCTCAGCCATATTCTATGATTTGATGCCTCATAGCATGCTACAAATTCTGTTCCCATATTAGATGAAGCTGTAAGGGTTTATTTGATATTGCGCCAAGAAACCACACCACCTGGCAGCATGAAAATGTAACCTGAAGTGGATTTCAAACTATCTTGACATCCTGCAAAGTCCAAGTCAGAAAACCCAACGATCTCTAACTGGTCTGACCTCCTGTATGTGAGTATATAATATTTTGTTCTTTTTAAATATTTTATAACCCTTTTTGCTACTTTCCAATGGTTCATTCTTGGATTGCTTAAATATCTGCCTAGAACCCTAACAATGTATATTGTGTCTGGACGCGTACGTACTTGGGCATAGATTAAACTCCCTACAGATGATGCATAGGGAATCTTCTGCATTTCCTCAATTTCCAAATTCCCCTTTGGACACTGATTGATACTAAACTTGTCTTCCTTAGCAACTAGAGTATCCCGGCTCATGATGCATAGGTTCTTGAGTTTGTTCTTGACGAACAACCAAATCATCTTGAGTATGGGGTTCATTATCAATGTCTTGTGGAGGTTCCGAACTTACTTTATCAAAAGTAACTGTTTGAATCAGTTATGAACTTGTTACTGATTCTTCTTCCAAGATAAAATTCTTAATCTTATTCTTCCCCCCAAACTCAATGTCCTCAAAGAACATAGCAAATCCCGTTTCAAAAAATTGTCTTTAATGTGGGATCATAAAATTTATATCCCCATGATCTTTTAGCATAACCAATAAAATAACTACTTACTGTTCGGGAGTCCAATTTCTTTTCATTTGGCTTATAAGGTCTTGCCTCAGTTGGACAACCCCACACATGGAAATGCTTCAGACAAGGTTGTCGCCCAGTCCAAACTCATAAGGTGTTTTGGTAGTTGCTTTAGTTGGTACTCTGTTTAGAATATAAGTTGTCGTCTTTAGTGCCTCTCCCCAGAGTGACTCTGGTAAGGTGAAATAACAAATCATACTCCTGACCATATCTTTAAGAGTTCGGTTTCGTCTTTCAGCTACACCATTCATGCTAGGTGATCCCGACATGGTATACTGTGGGGCAATTCCACACTCCTCTAGATACCTGGCAAAAGGTCCTGAACGCTGTTCACCTGACCCGTCAAATTTGCCATAATACTCACCACAACGATTAGACCTGAAAGACTTAATTCTTTTGTTGAGTTGATTTTCAACTTCAACTTTAAATGTTTTGAACACGTCCAGAGATTGTGATTTTTCATGTATAAGAAATAAGTATGCATATCGTGAGTAATCATCTATGAATGATATAAAGTATTGTTGACCATTCCACGAAGGTGTAGAAAATGACCCACAAATGTCCGTATGTATTAACTCTAGGACGTCTGTAGCTCTATATGTACCTAATCTTTTCGCTCTGGTCTGTTTGTCCTTAATGCATTCAACACAAACATCAAAGTTTGTGAAGTCAATGGACTCTAAGATTCCATTTGACACAAGTCGTTCAGCTCTATTTTTAGAGATATGACCTAAGCGCCTGTGCCATAATGCTCCTAAGTGAGTATCGTCAATTTTACGTTTAGTACCCCGTGATTCTGTATTAAGGGTGTCATTATAGGTAGTCACAATATCAAGTAAATACAGATTATCATAAGACAAAAGTGAGTCAGTTCTAATAATATCTGAATTAAAAGACAAACTGAGCTTATTGTTTCCAAATGAACACAAATAACCTAATTTATCCAAAATAAGAAACTGAAACCAAATTCCGTCTAAATGACGGCACAACAAAAGTGTCTTTAAAATCCAAATAAAAACCAGTACTCAATAACAATTTAAAATGCCCTATAGCTTCCACCTCTACCGATTTGTCATCTTCAACATATATCCATCTTTCAGAATCAATTGGCTTCCGGTAGCTTAGGCAACCCTTCATAGAAACACTGATGTTAGTAATTGCACCTGAGTCTAACCACCAAGTGTTACTAGGTACTGACACTAAATTGACTTTAGAACAGACCAAAGTAGGAAACATACTTTTGAGGATCTGAACGTAATTTAAATTGACGGATACTGTAAACAATTGTAATTGAATTAAAAACAAGAGAAATAAATTAATTATGCTCACATTATAAAAATAAATAATTATAAATAAAATATTTATTCAAATAATGGTTTAACCCATCTCAAGACACCCAATGCACCATCAATATCAAGTCTTTGGACAATAATATTAACTCGCTAGAGGTATCTTGTTGTAATAATCAAACATTGACAATAAAGCACGTCCAACAACAAATCATTCTTTGGATTGATTTATCATCGACAAAGCAAATCATTATAATTATCACATGTTTATCATTATAGGTGTGTATGCAATTCGGCCAAATATTAATCTTCCTTTGGGCCGACTAATACTCGCATGAATATATACAAACACTAACATTCAATATTTTTCATGAACTACCTAATTCAAGAGAGGTTACTTTGATAACTTCTTGACTCAATTTGCTCACAAAAATATTAAACTACCAAAAATTGAATATTTTATTTATATAACAAAATCAAATATTTAATATTTGCAAACTAATTCAAAAGACAATCACCTCATTAGAATCTTACTAAGGATGAACACTTCCCTATAATCTCACTAGGGATGAACACCTCCTTTGAACAAATCAAAGGATGAAAAACACCTCCTTTTCTACTAATACACAAAGGATGAACACCTTCCTAAAATCACACTAGAGATGAAACAGAGATAGTTCCGAGTCTCTTTAACACACTCGCTCTAAACCCTAAAAGGAGATTAAACAGTAATCACTCAAACCCTAAACAGGGAATTTAACATCAACTTCCCTTAAATCCCCAGAGGATAAAGACAATAAAATAATAACAGCCACATATGTGGAAACATTCACCAGTTGCCTAAGATCCTCTATGTTGGGAACTCCCCAAACACCACCCCCAATTCCAAACTCATCCATATCCACCATGAAAAGAAAACGAAAACAAAACCCAGAAAATTAAATAAAAACAAAAACAAAAGATTAAAACAGAACAGAAAACTCAATACAAGAAAGATTGAAATTTGAAACATTATTTCTTTCTCAGTAAAACTTGAAACTTAAACCAAAACAAAAGGGAAAAACGAAGAAGAAGAATTCATAGCTTCCTCCACGGTTCCATCAGCGAGCATAATCAGATTGAGGATGTTACCCCCAAATTTAAATTTTAGGGTTCACGGTAATTGGGATTTTATAAATTAAACAGAATCTGAATTTTTAAATATTTCCTAAGACAGACATGAATCAAGTATGGGCGGCTCTGATACCAGTTGTTGGAAATTTAATAATAATTATAATCCTAATTTTGATTCTAACTATCAAACATAAATATTATCTCATACTCATAAACATGTTGTAAACTGAATGTCAAATGATGATATCCTTGTAAAGCACTATTGATCTTATGGTCTTTCACCTGAAGAACACCTGTATTTCTCTCTGGATTTTCTCTCTTTATGGGAATAGAAAGAAAGGAACGAGACTGAGACTTACGTTTTGTGTGTGCTTCCAGAAGGGGACCATGACCCTTTAAATAACCAGAATTAGGTTAATTACTTAAGTTTTAGTATTTTCAATTTGGTCCCTCATCAAATTAGAAATTGTTCTATGATTTCTACACAATTTTATTTTTATGACATATACCTTTAGTCAAAATTTTTAATTTAATCAAATCATTTTATTATTTGGCTTAATAAATAATAATATATGACCCAAAATTTGCTATCATATATATATATATATATATATATATATATATATATATATATATATATATATATATTCAATTATAAACAAAACCACGATAATGAGTATATGAATTTTATTTTATTTTCATTTTTATCTTCCCTTCACATCGTCACGCATGCAATATTTCTTTCAAAATAGATACATCTATGAAAGGTATACATCATTTTCTAGAATTGTTTAAGGCACTCCCCTTTCCTGTTTTTTTCAAAAAATATATTATTTCATTGTGACGTGCTTTTCTTTTCCTTTCTAAAGTAAAGAATAGTCTATAGAAAGATGTTACGTTAGCATGAATGGATTTATGAAACACGTGGTTAAGAGATAAATTATTATAACAAAAATTATTGAATCATCGTATTAACAAATAATTTATGATGAAATTGTGAGTCTGGGGTTTACTTCAGATAAAATGGAGTCCATGGTAAAAAAAAAAACATAAAGACCAGAAAATACAAACAAAAATAACATCGATTCGACTTTAATGTAATAGATAGACAAAGGAATCTAATAATATCCCCAAACATTCTTCCACGTACAATTAGGGAATAAAAAACATTCAATAAAACAAAAAAAAGTCACCAGCCGCCAATTTTTTCATATCGGTGAAGCTCCTTAGAGGCCGTTATTCTTACCCTTGCGGCACTTTTTTCATTTTTTCTTCTTTAGATAACAACATCAGAGAGGACATAACACACGTTTGGATGGAATCGCGACGAGTCGACTAGCTCTGGGCGCGGTGAGTCCGAACACATCGCTGGTGTCCAACTCGCTGGGTTTCATCCCATCAGGTAACTCCCACCTGAAGCAGTGAAGCAAGTGCGCCACGGCCACTTCCAGCGCGTAAAGACCCAGTTGCATTCCGGGGCAGGATCTCCGACCTGAACCGAACGGAATGAACTCGAAGTTCATCCCTTTGAAATCGGGCACGCCCGGGTTCAGAAACCGTGACGGCTTAAACGCCTCCGGCTCTTCCCATGAGTCCGCGTTCCTTCCTATGGCCCAAGCGTTTATGATCACGCGCGACTTCTTCGGCACGTGGAACCCGCACACAGTGGCGTCCTCTGCTGTCTCGTGGAGGAGAAGAGGAATCGGCGGGTGCATTCGCAGCGCCTCCTTCACCGCACATTTTAGAAATATGAGCTTTTCGAGGTCCGACTCGTCCACGCGCCGGTCCAGTCCCACCACGTCAGCGAGTTCTTGCTGCACGCGCCGAAGGTCTTCAGGGCTTCTCATGAGCTCCGCCATTGCCCACTCGATTCCCGATGCCACCGTTTCAGTCCCACCGAACATCACGTCCTGCATGTTATCCCATTGTTGTCATTTTTTTCTTTCTCTCTTTTTGTTTCAAAACTTTAAATTGAAAAGCCGATTGAGACTTACAAAAAGAGGACTTTTATCTTTTCACGGCTCACACCCTTGTTCTTCCCCATCAATAACATTCTTCGAGTGAACTTTTTTTTTTTTAAAAGATATTTTTGTGAAGAAAACGTAAAATACAAAAATATATTTAATATGTACGAGTTTTTCTTTTTAAACAAATAAATCAAACACAAGAGTTGGAAATAGATTAATTATGTTATATCATATTAATATATTAGATTGTTGTATATCACAGTTCTCAACCTACCATCTTTCATAAAATTTAGAAAAACATGAAGTAGAAAATGGATATTTTTCATATTTAATTTATTTTTAAAATATTTTTTTAGAGTTTTTGTACTTAAAAAATTTTCACTAAATTGTTTTTACAGAAGAATGAGATTTATTTTTGTTTCGAATTGACTTTTTTACCATTGTTTTTCATAGCATGTTATTCTTATCGTATAGTTTAATGTGATAAATAATTAAAAGTAATAAAATAAAAAACAGTTTAAAAACATATAATTAATTTTAAAATATTCATATCCATCAAACATACTTTAATCATTATAAAAAAAATCATGATTTATAGACAAAATTTCTCTACTACTAAATATATCCTTAAAAATTATCAATATTCACTCCATTTGAAAATAATACTTTTAGCATTAAAGATAAAAATATTGAAAAATGAAAAGAAAAAAAGTATGTATGCATAATAACTTGAATTTAAATGAATATGTGGCTCCCTCTAAATCTTGTGGTGAAATTCTGCTTTCCAAATAAATAATAGTTTTAAAGAAAATTAGAAGTATAACGGAAGAGTTATACCATGACGATGGCTTTGATGTTGTCTCTGGTGAGTCTGATGGAGTTGTGAAGGTCCTCCGATTCATTATTCAATTTAGCCTCTTGGCTGTAAAAGTTCAACAACTCATCAACCATGTCACTTTCATCGTCGCAACTCTTGCCACTACTCCTCTTCTTCTCCACGTGCTCCTCAATGATGTTATCAATGAAGTTATCCAAGGCGGCACGTGCCTTCACGAGTCTGTCGTTGAGACACTGAGGATCAACCCACCCGAGGCAAGGCACAAAGTCCGCAATATTGAAAGCCCCAAACAACTTGGAAAACTCTTGAAAAATCCAAATGAACTCGTCCTGTCCCTCTTTGGAACTGGACCCGAAAGCCGCGCGGTAGATGATGTTTTTCGTCAGGTTGAACACTAGTTCCCCCACGTTAACGGGGTTGCCCACGTTCGCCGCAACGGTGCGGACGATGGTGTCGACTTCGTCTCTCACGGAGTTCCAGGACTCCGCGCGCTTGCGGCTGAAGAGTTTGACGACGCAGATTTTGCGCATCTGGCGCCAGAAGGGACCGTAGTGTGCGAAAGCCATGTCGGCGCGGTCGTAGGTTAGGTACCTGATGGCTATGGTGGCGGGGCGGTTGGAGAAGATGTTGTCTTGGACTTGGAGCACTTCACGCGCCGCTTCCGCGTTTGAAATGGCGACCATGTGGAGGAACCCCATGCGGAGGTGCAAAACGCCGCCGTATTGCTTGGCGAGTTTGGCCAAGCCTCTGTGTGTGAGCTGGTCCATGATGTTCATGTTGCCTATGATGGGTAGGCCTTTTGGCCCCGGTGGATACGGCGCCGTTTTTCTGCGAATTCGTGACAGTAAACCCATCAGCAGCAACGTCACCGGGATTATGTACAAGACCGTCGTAGGGAACGGTTCCAGTGCCGTTTTCAGTTGTATGAGCAAATCCATGGTGAGGGATTTTGGTTAGAAAATCTTATCTGCTATGTTGCTGTGTTGATTATGATTGGGAAGAAACAAGGAAAGCAGTAGCGTTAAGAGTTGCAACCCAGTGTGTTGCTATGGTGGGTGAGATATTATGGGGTTTTATATTCAAGTTCTGTCACCACAAGTTTCTTGAAACATAAGACATGAAAAGATCTAAAACACATATTTTACACTACAAGTGGATCTTAGGAGTGTTTTTCTCTTGATTCAAATAAAAGCAATGGAACCTAGAATTTTTAAAACAGAGATACTATATAAACAGAGGCTTAAATGTGTTCCTCGTGTTGCATCGATCATCTATGACATTATAAGCAAGGATATTATTAAAGAGTATTTGCTGCTTTTATTTTCACTCTCAATTCATTCTTCTTTTCACCCAGTCAGTTTCTTTGAAAGTAAAATATTACTTCTGATCAGGATTTCATTCTCACCTGAAATACCAGTATTTTATAAAGAGATACATGCGTTCAATTATAGAATAAACTGTTGATATATTTTATTATTATATTGGATCCTAACACAGTTTCGCAGTTAACTATACTTAAACTTATTGCCTATGAGATTGTTTAACTATATTATAGCTGCAAACTATTATTAACTTTGTCTCTCAGAATTTTTTATGATAAAGCCTAATTCATAATTAGTTAAATATATTTTTACTCATATTTATAGTATTCAAATTTAAAATTTTGGGTTTTGCTTCGATTGGACCGTGAAACAATATTTTTCTTCGAAAAACAGTACCTGTCCAGCAATGTTTTGTATTGGTTAAGCAGCAGTCATAAGACGCCCCAATAAAATATTCAAGAATGGAACGTGTCTTCCTTAACGTTGTGAGTTTATACAGGTGGATGAAAGATAAAAAGCAAATAAAAATTAGAAAATAATTATATGCAAACAACGCTGTACTAGGGTTTCTCTTAGCCAGTAAAATTATGTTTAGTGTGTTTTCTTTGTTACTCTTTCACATATCCTCCTCCTTTATCTCTTCTTTAGCCGTGTCTGTTTTAATTTGATTAGTTTATTTTGACTGATAAATACAGTTACCGAATCCTCTAATAACGATTGAAAAACAAGTGGTAGGGAGAAGAAAAACATAAGGAGTTGGAGAATAACGATTGAATGGATTGTATATTGAGTTCTCCAAGGACCTCAGAATTTCGTGTTCAAATATAATAATGCCTAAAAATGACACTTGCGGAATCATTTCTTCAAATCCAATATATAACACGAGAGATCACACACTGGTCGCAAATCAATGGAATTTTCAACATTCATTCATTACTTTAAGGTTTTTCATTAATGTTTCTTACGCTTATAGTTCAAACAAGTGTATCCATCCAATATGAATTTTGTTCAACCAAACCATATACTATAAAGCAAAAACAAAGTATGAAACATAGTTCTAGCTTCGTGTTTATCTTTCCTGTTATATCTTCATTCCACATAGCAAAAACAAAGTCAAAGGATATATGCTCATATTCTGATCAATTCTCTTATATAACAAATGTTTTAGAATGTTAATTTAATTCAAATAAAATCTAATATACTTTTAATTTCCTATATTTATTTTAAATACATGTTTTTAGCTTTCGATGAAACATTCAAATTACAATTTTTTTTAGTAAAAATAGAGATAAAACTTATTAAACTTGTATAGAAATTTAAATTATAATATTTAAAAAAAAAAGATAAAAGAAAAATATATGCTATTCTTTCATTTTCAACGGTTATAAACAGAAAAGCAGCCTGTGCATGGCATGACTTGCAGATTTGGGAGGACCACCAAATCTGTCAGAAATGTGTTTCACTTTGTCCATTCTCAGAAGCCGAAAGCTACTTCTTCGCATAATAATAATTTTGGTTTAAAAAATTATTATTAATAAATAATAAATAAATAAAAACTGAAGTTAAAATTACAAGTATACCAATAATTAAATTTAAAGATTCAAAATCATAGCATATATACAAATTATAAAACTTTAAAATCATGAGCTCTTCACTTTTCAAAAAACTTTAACACTGATCAAATAAATGAATAATATATATATATATATATATATATATATATATATATATATTAAACTTTATATCATCTTATATTTTTACTTATTTTCACACAATTAGTTTTACCAAATACTTCAAAATTTTAGTTTAATAATTTTAACCAATAAGTGAAAATGAAAATAGCTGATGATTTTTCCAATAACTTTTCTCTTTTTTTTTTCTGAAAAACAAAATGAGGTATTTACTTGAACATCACTACTCATGCACACAAATTGTTATTTCTACAAGTATTTCAATGTTTCTTGTGTATGTTTTGATTTGAGTGAGGAGAATTTAGAAAATATATTTGCTCCTTTCTTACCATTTTTTTCTTCATTTTGTTCACGGGAATTCGAAAATATACTTTGAAATTCAAAAATACTTTTTGTTCAAAGTAATATTTTAAACTTTTCTTTCAAACTCAAAAGATACGCTGATCTAATCTCTGCAATCACATGTTCTGAAATGTTTAGGTGGAATAATGAAACTACCTAAACAAATAGGTTGGCTATAGAAACGTGGAAGGAATTTTTCCAAGAAAAACAGCAGAAATTACCATTGCTACTTCCACGTCTTTTTCTTCTTATAACTTTCTTTAAATAACATTATTTTTAAAATTTAAAGCCAATTATTGTTTGTTTATTGCTTTAAAAATATTTTATATTTTAGCTTTTGAAAATTAATAATTTGTTTAACAATTACTTTCTTAAAATATTTTTTTCTAAAAATAAAAATGATAAAATATTTTTATTTTTTATTTTCATTCTTTTCTTTGTTAGTGATATATTATATCATTCGTTTTCATATTTTTAAGTTTTGAAACCGTAATTCTTTATCACTGTTGGCACATATTTTTTAGATTAAATAAAATAATTTTTAAATTAAAATCATCAAATGTATTTTTTAATTTATTTTAAATGTTAGTTATTAAAAAATTCTTAAATATTAAATTCGCATTTAAAAAATAAAAATATAACTAAAACAAATATATCCTAACTTATGAAATAAGATTTTGTTTTTGGATTAATCCAGACAATTCTTTAGTAAAAACGTTGGTATTATTTCTTACATTTTTTTTTCAATATATCAATTCTGATACTAAAATTCTTGGCCACATAAATTCTTTAGAGTCTAATTTAATTATCAGTTAAAACCTTATAACTAAGATTATAAATAATTTAAATTTTAATTCAAAAATTAATTTAACTAAAATAATTTATAACTTGATTAATATAATATTTTTTTGTTTTAAAAATAATAAAATATTTTATAAATTCATTATAATATAAATTAAAATATATTGAAGAATTTTTTTTACAATTAATAAAAAAAATACTAATTTTTATCAGTCACTTGCTTTTAAAGATAAACTAAACAAACATTCTCACTTGCGATAATGACATGAACTTTCGTAACTCTATCTTTCTTATTTTAGAACTCTTTCTTAGACTCATGCTTATAAGAGTATAATAGAGAGCTTCTTATTGAAATTTAAATGTTAAAGTATTAATTATTTAAAAAAATTGTTAATTATTTTATTAACCAACTTAAAAAATTAATTAAACGAAGTAATTATGAAGAGATAAGGGATTATTAAAAAAATCTTAAAAGGATTTCTATTAAAAAATTAATATAAATTATTTAAATATGATAAAATATAATTATTTTATATTTTATATTTTTTAAAAATAATATATATATATATTAAATTTATTTGTTGAATGGTATTGTTTGTATCACTATCCTTTCAAAAAGTGGCAGAAGGGTATAGTATGAATTGTTACTTATTTTAACACTCTTTTACCTGATCGTAATTTCACTTGAACTATTTTCCTTTTTCTACTCATTCACTTTTTATCATCCATCCAAAGAAAGCTTAACGCGTAGATTTAAGATGAATCAAATGAATTGGTAAGGACACATTTTATATAATACCCTTTACTATAAGATGAAACTACTTTATAAAAGCGCACACACAAAAAAAAAAAACAAAATAGTAAACTGGATCTATCTTTGCAAAGAAAAATAATGGGGTGACCACTCTATTTAACAACCACTTTATATAAATGGAAGTTTTATTAAAATTGTGTAAAAGTCCAACACAACTCTATGTTAAATGATGTAGTCTTTTTAATTAAATATATTTATATTGGAGTATGATCTTACTTTAATATATCATAATAATTGTGTTGGGTTGATTGAATCAACCGGGTAGATTTTGAGTTTCCACCTTTTTAAATTTTAGTATGACTATTTGTCATGATTGTACTAAAGTTACATCAACATGCACGTTAAATTGTAAAAAGTTGATATAATTATATCTTAAATTGTTATGAAATCACTTAATTTATGTTAATTTTAATATACTTTTTTCTAATATATGATGAATTCGAGAATATCTTGATACAAGAATAAGAAGCATAACTGTCAGCATAATTGGAATAAAATTAGAAGAAGAAAGAAAATTTTCAGTATTGAATTATTGGCAAGAGTACCAAAATTATCAATCGCAGTATAGTATTTCGATTAAATAAAAGTCGATCCCACGTGAAACGATTTCAATGAAAATTCCCAATTTTATGCTTATTAAGTAGATTAAAACAGAATGAGTTTTGCAATAAGAGTTGAATTGAAATTAAATGACAAAAAACTGTAAATTGTTGAGAAAATATCAATTAAAGATACTTAATATTAGTTTCCTTCCTTATCCTTCTTTTGTAATGACTATATCAATTAAAAACATCATATAATCTAACAATGTTGATGTAACCTCCTCAAATCATCCATGTTGATTTCTCACACATGAAGTTCATAAGAAAACCTAATAAATGTTGATTTCTCACACAATTAAGAGATTTTCCAGCATTAGGTTTAGGGTATTAAGCAATTGATACATTCATTTCATTCCTGGCAATTAA